TCTACTAAAAATATAAAAATTAGCTGGGTGTGGTGGCTCACACCTGTAATTGCAGCTACTCAGGAGGCTGAGGCACAAGAATTGCTTGAATCCAAGAGGTGGAGGTTGCACCTCTTGGATTGAGATGGCACCACTGCACTCCAGCCTGTGTAAAGGAGTGAAAGACTCTGTCTCAAGAAACAAAATAAAGCCGGGCGCAGTGGCTCACGCCTGTAATCCCAGCACTTTGGGAGGCCGAGGCGGGCGGATCATGAGGTCAAGAGATCAAGACCATCCTGGCCAACATGGTGAAACCCCGTCTCTACTAAAAACACAAAAAAATTAGCTGGGCGTGGTGGCACACACCTGTAGTCCCAGCTACTCGGGAGGCTGAGGCAAGAGAATTGCTTGAACCCGGGAGGTGGAGGTTGCAGTGAGCTGAGATCGAGCCACTGCACTCCAGCCTGGTGCCTGATGACAGAGTGAGACTCTGTCTCAAAAAATAAATAAATAAATAAATAAAATAAAATAAAATAAAACATCATGTTGTATATGATAAATATATACAATTTTTATGTGTCAATTTTAAAGGAGTGGTAGAGAAGGGGAGGTAATAATTGAAGCCAAAGAAAAAAGCAGGACTGTCCTAGGGAGGGTTTGGTGTGCCATGTTTATCCTGAGATAATAGGAAGCCACTGTGAGCTTATGAATTGATTGCTCTGGTAGCTGGGGGAGGGTGGATCTGCAATTAGGGACAATGTGGTTCTTGCAGTCTTCCTCAGTGTCTGGACTAGATTTTGCATCGGAAATGCTGTTTATGTGACTGCAGAATTTATTTGCTCAATTACCTATTTAATCAACTTAAAACAATTCTTCTTTATTGCCATGCCTTGTTTGGCTTTCATTTTGGCATTTCAGATTTGTATGCAATTTGACAGTTTGAATTCTCAGCACCAAGGAATATTTGCCAACAGAAGTGACATAAATGGCATTTCTTTCAAAACCGTGATATTTCGCTCATGTGACATATGTTTCTTTCAAGCTAAATAACTTTCAACCCTTTCAGCTGCCAAGGGCATCCTGAAATTAAACGTCTCCGTGTTTCATACCCTGTAGGAATCTTATAATACTGTAATCAGTGAAAAAGCAAATGGAGTAGAAGGAACCTGCCTTCCCCAGCACTAAAATGATCCAAGGGATGCTTGCTTTCAGATTCTAAGAGAATCTTAGGGTCTGAAATGTACTCTAGGATGATGAGTCACTAATAACAACAGTGCTCACAGTTTTACAGTTTTCAAAATGAGTCCACTTAATTTTTTCCCTTCATTCCCCTAAATGCTTATCTAAATAGGTATGTGAGTAATAGGACTTTGTGGTGAAATAAATTTGGAAGACACAAGCTTCTTTACTGTAGGAATTGAAAGCTTTTACTATATTAAAGCGATTTCTTTGAAAAGAGTATGGGACAGAACCTCCCAAGCCACTAAAAAACAATGGGCCACCCACAGAGCACACTTGGGAAAATTACACTACTTTTTTTTTTTTAAAGGCAATTTTTTTAAGCTTATTTGATATATTTCACGATCAGCGATTAGTTCTCATCCACGATGACTGTCTGTAGATTTTTGAAAGTGGTAACAGGCACATAGGTAACCAAAGTATAGAGCTTATTTGGCGAATCTTCATCCTCATTACGTTTTCTGGACAACCGCACACGGATTCGGTATGGGATATTCCTTATTCCTTTGGCCCAGGCAGCTTTGTTGAGCCTGGTATCAATGCGCACATCTGGAGTTCCCATCTCCTTTAGAGCAAATTTCCGAATCTCTTTGAGTGCCCGAGGGGCACGCTTCCTGAAGCCCACTCCATGGATGCGCTTGTGAATGCCGATGGTGTATTCTCGGGTAACCACCTCGTTGATGGCAGAACAGGCCCTTTTACTTCTCGCCACCCTTCTTTGCAGGAGCCATTATGCCGGGTCCGAGGTGGAAAGGACTACACTACTTTTTTGTCTAGAGAGGCAAGTGGCGTTTTTTTCTTTTTTATTAAAATAAGGAAAATGGAACGTATTCCAAACTGTAGGATTACTACCAACTAAATCAATTTAATAGGTGTCACACAGCAATAGAATAAAAAAAAATAGATTCTGCTATTTTAACAAATAGAGTATATATCACATAGTGTGCCTGCGTGTATGCACTCAGAGTCATAAACGTGTGTTTCTGTGGGTTGCAGTCACTGTGTGAAGGGAATTATCTGAGATCACTTGGCTAGAGAATGAGTCAGGACAGGGAAGTTAGACTTCATGGTTATTGTCTACTAATTTGTTGGCAGACTAGTTTCAGAAAAATTATTTTTGGCTGGGTGTGGTGGCTCATGCTTGTAATCCCAACTGCTCTGGAGGCTGAGGGGGGAGGATTGCTGACCCCAGGAGTGTGAGACCAGTCTGGATAACATAAGGAGACCCTGTTTCTACTAAAAACAGAGAGGTGACTGTCTACCATTCTACCTTTTCCCACATTCTGCTTCTGCTGCTGAACTTAGGGAAATTATCTGACGTTTCTGAACTCAGTTTCCTCATCTACAAAATGGAGACAGTCTATGCTTTCAGTCAGGTGCAGTGGCTCATGCCTGTAATCCCCAGGACTTTGGGAAACCGAGGTGGGAGGACTGCTTGAGGCCAGGAGTTTGAGACGAGCCTGGACAATATAGCAAAACCCCATCTCTACAAAAGAAAAAAAAAATTAGCTGGGCATGGTGGCACCCACCTGTGGTCCCACTTCTCAGGAATCTGACTGAGGTGGGAGGACTGCTTGAGCGTGCGAGGCGGAGGCTGGAGTGAGCTGTGCTCAAGCTACTGCACTCTGGCTCAGGCAACAGAGTGAGACTCTGTCTCAAAAAATTAAAAAATAAAAATAAAAATAAAAAAGCAAGTAGGTAAAGAGCCAGCAAAGAGAATCCACTACAAAATATTATTTTTTCAATTGTACCCATCTATCTCCAAAATAAATTAATAAGGAATTCAGCCTTTATTCTCTAAACCAGAATTTTTCCAACCAACATATTGGAATCAACCATCAAATCTGATAATTACTCAGGCTTTTTATAAATACAACAGAAGATGTACAACCAGACACTTTTTTCTCCATTTTTGCGAATGTGCTGCTATTCTTAGGGTGCTGAAACTTCATAGTCCTCGTTGGTGCCTATATTACTCCACATGCCCTGCATTTCTTCCCTGGTTTCTGCTCCTTACTCCCCTGTTTTGAATGACATCTGACACTTCGATTACCGCAGCAATCTTTGAATCAATTTTCCCAGGCTCATTTCTCCTCTGCTCCCTGCCTCAAGTTTAATCTTTCCTAAGAATTGTTTTGGTCCTGTAATGATACTGCAAGTAGCTTTGAGCCACTGAAAAGTTTCAGGCAGATTAAAGACAACTTTTATAAAATTTGTAGGGTGCTTTACCATTGCCAGAATGGTTTTAGTATATACATAGTCTCTTAACTCCCACAATAATCTCATTTCATAGATGAAGAATCTGAGGCTCAGAGAAGTAACTTGTTCCTATATTCCACACTGGCATGTTTGACTGAGAGTCATATCTGATAACACTGAATGAGGATTTGGTGTTAGCTTCAGGATCTTGAAACTTCAAATCAAACTTTCAAGGTTTTTCAGAGTTTTTCCCAGCCTGAATTCCAGCCTTATCTCCAGGTATTTTAGTATTGCAGCCTAACTGGGTTACTCCCCATCCACAAGCTTTTATTTTTTCCCTTTTAAATTCGTTTGTTTTCTCTGCCTGCCTAGAATGCCTTGACATCTTAGTTCTTCTCCTCCTGAAATCCCATTTCATTGACCTTTTCTCAACCTATTATTCAAGATTTGGTTCACCTCCAAGTCTATCTGCTATCAACAGTTTTGAACCATTTTTGAATTTTGAATTTTTATCTAATTTTACTTATTTGTGACATCCTATCAACTACAGAGTTGTCTAGGTAGTAAATGATGCATTTTCTTTTTCTTTCTTTTTTTGAGACAGAGTCTTGCTCTGTCACCCAGGCTAAAGTGGCACAATCATAGCTCACTGCAACCTTGAACTCTTGGCCTCTAGCAATCCTCTTGCCTTGGCCTCTCAAAGTGCTGGGATTACAAACATGAGCCACTGCATGCAGCCTGTTCTTGTTCGTACTCTCCACGCTCCAAATGCATTTTTTTGCCACGTAAATGAGCCTCAAATATTAAATTTAATTTGTGATTAAAACTTAAGACCAATATAGCAGTGGCCCCACAGAACTTCATTATACAGTCTAGTGAATGTTACTAGGGTTGAAAATCTTCATTTTAGTTTTTGCTTGCCAGAACAAATATTTTCAAAATTGGTGCTCTCTGATGGAGAACAAAATCAACTAAATGGAGTCATATCCAAACATCATTACCCAAAACCATAAAATGTAAAGAACTATTTCAGGATTTTCAAAGTCTAGCAGAAGAGGGAAAACAAATTCTTGTTGTATATAAACTACAGTGCAGGGGTGTATTGTTAAGATTTACAGTTTACAAAACATCTTCAGGTATTTTGGAATGTCCCAGTGAACTGGGAGTTAGGGCAGGGAGATACCATCTAAAGATGAGATAAGAAAGCACTGAGCCAGCATTTTGGGAGGCTGAAGCAGGAGGATTGTTTGAGGCCAGGAGTTGGAGACCGGCATGGGCAAGAAAGTGAGGCCTTGTCTTTACAAATGACAAAAACATTAGCCAGCCTTGGTGGCATGCACCTGTGGTCCCAGATACTTGAAAGACTAAGATGGGAGGATCACTTAAGCCTAGGAGGTTGAGGCTGCATTGAGCCCTGATCACCACACTGCACTCCCTAGCCAGGACAACAGAATGAGATCCTATCTCAAAAACAAACAAACAACAACAACAAAAAAAAAAAAAAAAAAAAAAAAAAATTTTTAAAAAAAAAAAAAAAAAAAAAAAAAAAACAAAAAAAAAAAAAAAAGGAAAAAGAAAAAACCAAAACAAACAAAACGCCATGTTAAAGGTTAAGCAGCTTGCTTAGAATCCCAGGAGCCATAAAGCAGAAGATCCAGGACTTGAACCCAATATGCAGATATTCCCAGCATGTATTTTCAGATTCTTATTTTGTGCAAAATACACTCTTAGGTTTAGGGAGGTAGGAGAGGGAAAAGTTTAAGGTATAGTTTCTGCCCTTAAGAAGTTTACAGGCTGGGTAGTCGGTGGCTTACGCCTATAATCCCAGCACCTTGGGAGGCCAAGGTGGGCAGATCACTTGAGCTTAGGAGTTCGAGACCAGCCTGGGGAACATGGTGAAACCCTGTATCTACAAAAATACAAAAATTAGGAAGGCACAGTGGCCCATCCCTGTAGTCCCAGCTACTCAGGAGGCTGAGATGGGAGGATCGCCTGAGTTCAGGAGAGGTGGAGGTTGCAATAAGCTGAGTTCATGCCACTGCCTTCCAGCCTGGGTGTCAGAGCCAAGACACTGTATTGAAAAAAATATAAAAGCTCGCAATACAGCAGATAGAGCCATATATTCATTTAGCAGTTAAGCTTGTAACTGCAGCAGCCTCTGGAGCTAGATAAACAAACGAGGCAAACGTTCTGCCTCAGGATGACACATCTATGCAAATGTCACAGATGTTATACAGAATTAGGTTCATTACAAGGTACAATGGAGCATAAAGTTGAAGCTTGTCAATTCCACCCCACCATAGATACAGTAAAAAAGAGCTTACAGAGAAAATGACTTAAATGGAGACTTTTAAGGGAGATGGTCACTTTCCAGGGACATGGGATAAGGAATGGAATTTGTGATTGAAGAAGCAGCTTTAGAAAAGGCAGAAGCATTCTGAGGAAGGGCTTACAAGGTAGATCAACCTTCTAAGCACAGTGCCATTTATCTTGCCTGATGGAAGCTATTGATATATGTATGTGTGCGTGTTTTTTTAAACAGGAAAGAGACAGAATTGGATATGTCTTTTTAATACAAGTGGGAAAAAGTGCTATAATTAGAGGTACAAATAATGTCTAAGGAAGCACAGAAGGCTCTTTGAAATCAGTCAGTCTCCTATATGTTATTCTGAAATTAAAAATAAGTAATAGAGCCGGGCGCAGTGGCTCACGCCTGTAATTCCAACACTTTGGGAGGCTGAGGCCGGCGGATCACCTGAGGTCAGGAGTTCGAGACCAGCCTGATCAATATGGTGAAACCCCATCTTTAAAAAAATAATAATAATAAGTAATAGGTATATATCTGGGTAAACAATGACAGGCCCCTATGCTTGTCCCTCACCCACCCGCCACCCCTTGCCACTCATTCCTAGCTTCACAAAACCTCTATTTTTAGTTTCTTTTTAATCCTTTCACAGTTTTTTTGTATATTGGCAATCATATAGGAAGTATATTTTTAAAATTTATCCCCCTTTTTATTAAAGAGTACCATGCCACACCTGGTTCTTCCCCTCACTATTCTTAATGTATCTTGGTAATCTTTCCATATTTCTCCTTTTAGAGTGCTTCCTGATGCATTTTTCCTTTTATATGCAGAATATTCCATGATGTGAATGTTCCATAACTTACTTAACTTATTCCTGGCTGGTTGTGGTGGCTCAGGCCTTTAATTCCGGCATGTTGGAAGGCCAAGGTGGTAGGATTGCTTGAACCCAGTTTGAGTCCAGCCTTGGCAACATAAGACCCTGTCTCTATTAAAAAATAAATTTTAAAAAATGAAAACTTATTTTCTGCAAAGGGACACTTGATTTGTTTCCATCTTTTGCAATTCCAAAGTATGCCACATAAAGGCTGAGCATGGTGGGTCACACCTGTAATGTCAGCACTTTGGGAATCTGAGGCAGATAAATCACTTTGGGAGTCTGAGGCAGGTTAGTAAGACCTGCCACGGCCAATATGGTGAAACCCCATCTCCACTAAAAATACAAAAAATTAGCCAGGCTTGGTGGTGCATGCCTGTAGTCCCAGCTACTCGGGAGGCAAAGGCAAAAGAGTCACTTGAACCTGGGAGGCAGATGTTGCAGTGAGCAAAAATTACACCACTACACTCCAGCCAGGGCAACAGAGTGAGACTCCATCTCAAAAAAACAAAACAAAACAAAAAACCCAAAAAACTATGTCACATAAGGAGTCTTGTGCAACTGTCATCTCACATGTGTGTAAGTTTGTCTATGGGACTTGGAATTTCTGGACAAAGCATTTGGAATTTTGGTAGGTACTGCCCAATTCCCATCCTTAAGGGATTCTCATTTTTCTAATATTTTTATTCTTCAGAGTAGAATTATTTTTAGGGCAGGGACTCTATCTTGTTCATCTTTACTTTCTTGGACCTAGCTAGAAAGTACTTACTAGATGGTGTTGAATTCATTCCTATCTGAAGACACAGTTGGAGAAGCTCTGAAGCTCAAGCCCCTTGAAAGGGGCACCATTGTTGGTGAGATATAATCAGCTTCCCTCGTTCCCTTCCAAACCAATTGTGGCAAAGACAAAGCAAATACTTAATCCAGGCTGGCGGCTCATGCCTATAATCCCAGCACTTTGGGGGGTCAAGGTGGATGGATCGCCTGAGGTCAGGAGTTTGAGACTAGCCTGGCCAACATGGAGAAACCCTGTCTCTACTAAAAAAAAACCAAAAAAAACCAAAAAACAGAAAAACAAAATTAGCCGGGCATGGTGTCGCATGCTGCGTAATCTGAGCTACCTGGGAGTCTGAAGCAGGAGAATCGCTTGAACCTGGGAGACAGAGGTTGTAGTGAGCCAAAATCATGCCATTACACACCAGCCAGGGCGACAAGAGCTAAACTCCATCTCAAAAAAAAAAAAGACTTAATCCAGAAACATCTCCCACATTTCTCCCACATCTTGAGAGCCAGTGGACACTGCTTTCATATGTCTTAGAAAAGGCCACTTACTATTAAACTTTAAGTATTCATTTACTATTTTGTCTTTTTTGAGGTAGGGAGANTTTTTTTGAGACGGAGTCTTGCTTTGTTGCCCAGGCTGGAATGCAATGGCGTGATCTCATCTCACTGCAACCTCCACCTCCCCGGTTCACGAGATTCTCCTGCCTCAGCCTCCTGAGTGGCTGGGATTACAGGCACATGCCACCATGCCCAGCTAATTTTTGTATTTTTAGTAGAGACAGGGTTTCACCATATTGGTCAGACTGGTCTCAAATTCCTGACCTCGTGATCTACCTGCGTTGGCCTCCCAAAGTGCTGGGATTATAGGCGTGAGCCACCACACCTGGCCAAGGGAAGAATATTTTCAAAAGTCTTATTTGTAATTTTTAAAAATTCTGATGCAAACAGCAGTGTAATTTTTAAAAAGAATATCCTGTGCTCTTTTAAAGTTATTGTTTAGGTTCAAAGTCACTTTTAAAGACCCTAAAGGTTCTTTACAGATACAACCTTAAAGCAATACCAGTGACAATGACAATGAGAGCTAATTTCCTTCTTCTGTACCTAAGAAAGACTGAGTCACAGTGGATCCAGAGACTGAATCAAGTCATAATTAGTCAGGGGCAGGCCTCGGAATACATGAGTATTTCTTACCCACTTATACACAAAAGCACATTATGAATACTAACACTTTTCAAAGCTTTGCTGGACGATCTTTATTTTCTCTCTTCTAAAATTACTCAAAACCTTATATGTTCCTTGCAAGTTGTTCTAAAACAATTTGTTGATATCAGAACACTTTCCTTTTAAAGACCAGATGACTTAAAAAGACTAAAAGCAAATTTAATCTTTGCCAAGTTAGCTTTTCTTTTATAGAAAGTGCCTGCTTCAACATATGGTATTAGAATGGCACAGTGTAACCTGTTCTTTATTCATAGTTTGCATGGCGTGTATTTTGTGCAAAAGCAAACTGAAATCCTTAAGCCCTTAACTTCTATCCCAAGAGGTGTCCTTGATTTCTTCTCAACTTTGAATCTAGGTCTGGGCGGACTGAGTCTCCCTAAGTACATTCACAGATGCAACAGTTGCACTGCTGTTCACACACCATTTATTTCTCAACGTCCTATGAAACAATCAGGTAGAACACTCATTATTTTCTATTTCAAGATGGAGTAGACATCAACTCAACACAGACCTGTTCCTGTATCTTCAATTTATACTCAGGAGGCAATGGGATATTTTTGCGGAAATGGAGACACAGATATCTCTATCCATCCTCCATCACTGACAGCCTGTTAGGTGGTCACAGCCATTCTAAGCCCCAGTGTCCTCAGCTAAGGGAGGACGTGAAATTCTTGTATAGATTTGTTTTCTTCGCAGTCATGATAACCCAAATATGGTTTGATGACTCATACTTGATATTTCTGGGAGTCTCTCAACAGTAGATTGGCACACAGATTCAAATGTAGTTGAGAAACGAATAGTTGAAAAAAATATATAGGATTGGGAAGAGAGAGGTAGAACTCATGAGACACAGTGACAATAAAGCAATAGGGCACAGGCTGGGTGGCTTCGGGTGGTTTATCGTCGCCTGACACTGCATGGGAAATTCTGCAGATGCCTGCTTGTGTGTGTTTTTCAAAACACAAGCTTTATTCTTGAGGTCTCTGAGAGGGGTTGAAACCTTTTCTTCTCTCCCAAACTGAAAATGAAGATAACGGATTCTGCTAACAGTCTGCGCAGAGGAAAGAATCTGTTAATCTCATGTCTTCCTCCTTCTATCTGTCCCCTTCCCTCAACAAATCTTTGGATTAAAAGGGATCTCAGCAGAAAATATAAGGAACAATTTTTAAATTTCTGATTTTTATCTTTTTACTTTCTAGAATTATTTTTTGTTTTTTGTTTTTTGTTTTTTTTTTGAGACAGGGTCTCACTCTGTTGCCCAGGCTGGAGCACAGGGGTGCAGTCACAGCTCATTGCAGCCTCAACCTTTTGGGCTCGAGACATCCTCCTGCCACAGCCTCCCAAGTAGCTGGGACTACAGGTATGTGCCACCATGCCTAGCCAATTTTAAAAATTTTTAGTAGAGACAAAGTCTTGCTATGTTGCTCAGGCTGGTCTCAAACTCCTGGCCTCAGGCAATCTTCCCACCTTGGCCTCTCAAAATACCGGGATTACAGGCATGAGCCACCACACCCAATCTGTTTTCTAGAATTTTTTTTTTTTTTGAGACAGAGTTTCACTCTGTCACCCAGGCTGGAGTGCAGTGGCATAATCTACGTTCACTGCAACCTCTACCTCCCAGGTTCAAGCATTCTCCTGCCTTAGCCTCCCGAGCAGCTGGGAATACAGGTGCCTGCCACCACGCCCAGCTAAT